CCCCAGACCCTCGTTCCCAGGATGGCTCCTGGTGCTTTCAGGAGTCTAAGCAGCCTCTGTGTCACTGCCTTGAAAGCTGGGAAAAAGGCAAAAATAACCCCACAAAAGGAAATAATGCAGATTTGAGAAATGCAGGACTTGCATTACAGCACAAGCCTGAGAACAAGCAGGTGAACAGATTGCAGGGAAGGAAGGGGAGAAACCCAATGAGCCAGCCCGTGAGCTGCAGCCCACACCTTGCAAAGCAGCCGGCTCTCAAAACTGTTTCCCAAAGTTGTAGCATTTCTGTCTCAACATTAATAATTTTTCCTATCTGGATGGCAAAATATTCCCCAGTTATATGAGAGAAAGGAAAACTATCAATTTGAACAGTATTTATTTATAAGGCCCTGCTCTTGGTGAGCCATAACTCACAAAGATCCAGCTCCCAACTCACATGCCCTTGGGTCCCAGGTCGTGGATGAATGACAGCTGGCTGACTCCAATGAACTCCATCTGGGGAAAGAAAAAAAGGTTCCCTATCTTTCATACTCCGAAATCCACAAAACACTTTGCTTCATTGAAGTGACTTGTCATAAAGACAGAACCTACAGGAGAACCTGAGCAGAAGTTACCCACCATCCCTTAAGCATCTTCAAGAAGACCAAGTAATTTGGCTGGATTTTTTGTTTGTTTATTTTAAACATGCTTTGGAGTACATATTTCAGGCAACCAGGACAATCACGATCAAATGTATCATAGGGACCCACTGGTATCCTCATATCCACACATATCCAGGGCTGGGAGCACCCTATTCTCTCAGAGTCCCCTACCCCATGGACACACACAACATGGGGGTTCAGCCCCTCGACCCATGAGCATCCCCCAAGACCATGGCAGCAGATCCCTCGCACTCAGCACTGTACACACACCACTGCCCCGTCTGTCCCCAGAAGCCAAAAACCCATGGGAAAGCCACAGCCGGGCAGGAGGAGAGCAAGTTCAAGCCCACCCTTCACGACCTCTGCTGATCTGCACGGAGCTCCACGGCAGGCACAGCCCAGGGAACCCACGTGCCGCACTATCAGGTTTACCAGCAAATCTCAAATTCAAGCAACCTGCCTCCTCACTTCTCACACTGCAGCAGAGATTGCGGAGGAACGTAACGACGAGCAAAGCCAGTGAGAAAGCACAGCACGATGACATTCACCTCTAAAAATAGGACACCAGGCGATTTTGACCAAGCGGGCTTTCCTTGGCACAGCGGGACATTCCTGACAGTCTGCTGGTCGTTAGCCCTGGGCCCCATTAGCAGGGAGGAACGCGAGCCCTCGGTGTCCTGTGCAGGAGCAGCCCTGAGAAGGACCTGCCTCACATGGCAGAGGCTTCTCCACACCCAGGCACTTTTAGTTTATTATCACATAAAATCATCCATGTGCAGAAAGGTGCTCAGGGCAGGAGGTGCTCTCCCCTCTGGTCAGGGAAGCCGCAGGGAACCCTTTAACCACATGTTTTGGCAATGAAGCAGCTGGGACTGAAGCCCAGGACCGCAGTCAGGACATGAGAATCCTTGGGGCCAGCTTCAGGCCATGCCCAGCCATGCCCACAGCAGCTCAGGTGTCAGCACCCAAGGAAGGGCTCTCCCCCAGGGTGGCCACTGTTGCCTGCTCCTGGGCAACCAACCTCAGGGCCCTCATTGCAAATCCCATTTTGCACAGGAATTACACGGGTGGATCCGTAAGTCTTAGAGGTATTTTCAAACACTAAGTATAATAAAGAATATCAGTAAACTCAGGTCAAAAGTCTATCTTGCAGTCTATCTTGGTGAGGCCAGCTCCGGCTCCCTTCCCAACACTATCACTTGTGCCCCACAGAAGCAGCACTGGGACAGAAGATCCTTCCTCCTCCTCACGCACTGCTGCTCCTTCCCAAATTTCTCACATCAGTAAGATCACGGAGAAGAACAAAGGACCTGTTGTTCTCCAAGTAGCTCAAGGACATAAAGTAACCTCTATTCAGTAGAGGCAAATTTAATGTCCTCATTTTTGAGGGATTTCAGCCTGTTTTGAGAAAGCATCTTTCAAAGTTATCCTGTGCTTTTACTAACAATCTTGCTATCACTGCTCTCAGTGCATGTTCTGGAAAAGCACTGGGTGTGACCTAGGAACATTTCGGCAGTGACACGGAGCAGGAAGGGGAGCATCTGAAAACCCAGTGTATCCTACAAGCTCTTATCAGAGGTCCCAAGCAAAGTCTCAGGCCAGTTCTCTGCCCTGGACCCCATTTAATTTCTTCAGAAAATGGCTGGTGTTCCCCATCAGACGAATCAGAAACCAGACATCTCTCTCACAGTGGGCACACCAAAAAAATTGCACAGGAATGTCAAAACCCTTTGAAAACACTGGCTGCAACCACAAAGCTGGCAGCAATATGAGGAGCATTGCACGCAGAGAAATAATTGTCCTCAAAGAAGCAAAAAGAAAAACCAGGAGGAAAAATTACTTGCAGACACAGAACTACTACTACTACATCAAAATGAAAGAAAGATTGTCTGGCAGCACAGCAACCTGCTCTTCAGCCAAGGAATGTGGTGACAGCAGCCCATCCAACACCACATTGATCAAGCAACACCAGTTAGGAGCATTGGTTTGTAAAAGAAATATAAACAAATTCCATCAGTTAGAAGGAAAATTCCTCAGTGCAGTGGAAAATATCTGATCGAATGGTTTCGTATTATTGCCGCATTAGCTATTTTTACTGTTACAGCGCCTTCCATCCGAGATGCTCGTCATCCACAGAAGAACCGAGGGGACCGCGGAGCAGCCAGGCGCTTTCATCTCCCTCACATCTGAATTCCTGCGCTGCCCAGCTGCCTCCCTGAGGAGCTGGCATCCCGCTCCGGTTTCAGAGCGATCTGCAGCAGAGTATTTGAAGTATGAGACACAGGCCTGGAGAACTACTGCGCAGTTTCAGTGACATTGTAGCAACAAAAAGGAAAAGAAAACAAACAAAAACAGAGAGGAGTGATCAGCTGCGGCAAGACAAGCTATGAAAGGTAAAGAACCAGCTGCAAGGTCCACGAGACACGTTTTAAACCATCCTGTTCTGCCAGTGCTGTCGAGCACGCATGATTTATGGAAGCAAAAATTTCACAGAGCATCCACGTTTCAGAAAGAATTCAGCAGCTCCACACTGTTTTTTCACTTTGACTCTTTCTTTTAATTTAGTGGGTTAAAAAGCCCATAGAGAGCTGTTTAGCAGCTGCGGCGGGCAATAAAAAGAATTACACCACTCTTCAGAACAATATTGGAAGATGCCAGCTATTGCCTACACAAAAAAATTGGCTTATATTAAACCCAAATTTAAAAAAGAAATTAAATGTGCTTGAGTTCAAGTGCAATAACTAAAAATACCAAAGGGCTGGGTGGGGACCTTTGCAGCTGTCTGCAGATCCAAGTGCCATATCGGAGGCAGACCAGCAGCCACTCTCATATCTGAGCTGTTCTTACACTGCACTGCTTTCCCTTAGGATGATGCTTTTACACTCCCTAAAGCTCATGCAAAATGTTACAGACACATGCATTCTGGTTCAATCAAATCTTATTTTTTATTTGGCTTAGGCATCTCTCAACTATTGCAGCTCATACAGAACAATGATGCAAAGGTCCAACTAATAAAATTTTTATATGGGATACAATCAAGCCCCTGGGTCCCTTTTCCTAATGTTCTGGGAACATTAGGGAATATTTCCCCAATTTCCATTTCCCAGAGAAAAACGTGGACAATTAACACACTGGGATTCCCACAACTCATTTTAATGGTAATTGTCTTGAAGCGTTTCAGCCCAGAAGCACTATAAAAAGGTTCTGGAAAGGACTGGAAGTCGTGAGATTTAATAACAACTCACACAGCCAAAAGAAAAAAAAAAACCAAAACAATGAAAAGCTCTGATGTCTGGGATCTGATCACAAAATACAACGCACCTACCAACCTATCTGTGAACGCCACACAAAATACTATGTTACAATGAACACTGAGAAAATAAGGGAAATGTGTGAAAGCTGTAGTGTATCAGAGCTACCCAGACAAAAAGGAAGTGACACTTGGTACATCTCCAAACGATGATGCTTCAGTCGGTTCAGTTTCCACAGCCTGCAGGAGCGTCACCCAGAAAGGCCAGAGGTTGTGCAACCTCTGCGATGTCGTGTGGTCACCTCGGACCTGATCTTCAGCCCACTGAGGACATCGGGTCTGCAAAACCCCTACACGCTCGGCTCTCCCAGTGCCGGGCATGTCCTCAAGACAGAGTATAAAGTGGTGACAAATAATAAGTTAACCACAAATGCAAAATGAAAGAAGCAAAAAAGGCAAATTAATTAAATTGTGCAGGTCGGATGTAAAAACATCTCCGAGGAGATGCGATCGGCTCAATCAGGCTCATCATAAGGACCAAGGGTTACACATCAGGCAGGCTGCAGCTCGACATTGCAACTCCGTCTCTGACTTCAGAAAGAATTTAAGATTTTAAAAAAACAACTTGGTGCATGGACTTGATGAGAGAAACACACAGGAGTCAAAACACGCTCCAAGATTAAGACAGTTACAGCATTTGTCAGCGTCCAGGCAAAAGACTTCTGAAGCACAGGAAGAGCAAAGCCCTCATTGTGTTCCATGGAAGGCAAATACAGTTCCCAAGGAAAGTGCCAGAAATCTTCCCTTTAGTCTGAGGGTGGTGGGGGTTGTTCTGGTGCTTTTTTAAAGGAACCATTTTTCTCCCTGTGCTTTCTTGCAGCATCACCTGCAAGACCTGCTGCACTTAACACCGCTGCCGCCATTAGCAGCAAAGTTCTCACTGAATGCTTCGCTGCGGCCAAATCCCATGAAAGCCAACGATAAACTGAGAATGTGTGCAAAGTGACATCTGTCCCCGAGGGCTGGGAACAGAAGGGCGATTCAGCGCAGCAGGAGGGGAGAGCTCGCAGCTGCTCGGGCGAGGCAGGACCACTCGTCTCCTCGCAGCAGCCCGCCTTGAGCCACAGCCTGGTCAGAAGATCACCCGTGTTCTAACACCAGCAGAAATCCTCCAAAATACTGGAAAAAAGCAACGCGTGCCTAAGAGTGACAAGATGGATCTGCGCTGTAAAATAACTCTCCCCCGCTTTGCATATGCTACTGATCAAAATTGCCAAGTTGTCCCAGTCTTGCCTTCAGAACAAAAGATGACTATTCTCCACGTGCAGATTAACACAGATCTTGACTGCATTCAACTTCAGCTCCACAGCCTGGCCCCAGAAGAAGCACTCTAAGAAACACAGTTGCTCTCAGCCCAGATCTGAAGACTTCCTGCAAACCAAAGCATGCCAGCCATTGCTGGATGGGCACTTGGCCCCCGATAATAAGTGGTGCTCAACACACTGAGCTCTGCAATAAGAGCACGCACAGCTTTTGGGCATGACATCCAGCTACAGGCTGCCCAACACCTCTGCACAACTGAAACCCTGCAAAAGAGCAGAATCCCTACCAAAAATCAACTGCAAAATGCAAAGAGACGAACTGGCTGCTACAGATACCTTAAGTTCAGTCTGTATTTCTTTCCATTTTTGAAACCCAGTGTTCCCAAGTTGTCAGCCCTTCCTCAAAAATGTCACTAAGCTCTGCAGCAACTCAATGCACACGTCACATTTTGTTGATAATAGAAAAGACGAAGTAACACAGTCATTATGCAGCCAAGAAAAGGTGAAATAAATTACCATCCCATGGAGATGTTATAGCTGCAGCTGACAGGTGAGGACTACTGAAGAAACATTACAGGGTGGGTTTCAAAGGAAACATTTTTCGCTCAAAATAGACCTGAGGTTGGATTTGACATCTCTCCTCATTTCAGAAAGACTGTCAACCTGGGGAAATAAGCCTCTGTTCTGGAGGTGACAAAATAACCATAGAGGTCAATGGGTACCACTCATACAAACTCAATGTCACTGATGTCCAGTGAAACTGCACAGAACAGGAACCCGAGACAAATTTGCACCCAGGAACACACTCAAAGCCCAAACTGAAAGAGAGATTACGAGCATGGTTTGGACTCCAATTATTTAACACTTCAACTTATCATCTTAAACACTTCCCAGAACTAAACAGAAACCCACCACACTGTACACACACAAATCAGCATTCTGGACTGGACTGCCCCAAAGAGGTTATCACCATGTTATAACAGCGACCTCCAACACTGAGCTGTTCACTCTCTTCCTTTGGTTTTAGTCATATTACATCCACGTTGGAGAAATCAGCTAAGTCAAAATGTTTGCAAAACAGCTGTAAAATGCTTCTCATGTAAGCTTCTTCCAATGAATTCAGCATTTGTAAAGCGAATATTCTTTAGGAATTTAAGCAAATTAATTTCTACTCACCGTTCCATGGTAGTTCCTGTACATCGGCATTTTTAGGATCTTTGTCAGATAGTCTTCGAGTTGTTTCTATAATTAAAACATTGAAAGTTTAGATAAGATGCAGGAATTTTCAAGGAAAAAACCCACAATCCAACTGTCTGGCATTAGAAAGCAACAAAGACATCAGACACACTGAGGGCAGTGGCTGGGCAGAAGAAACCACTACAGGAGAGAGAATCTCTTCCCATCCTCACAATAACTGGACAAAGAAGAGATTAAGCTGTTTGGTAATGGGAAACTGGGCAGAGCCCTATAGGACACAAAGTGAACCAAAAACAGACAGGTGTCATCAGGACCTTTGTCCTTCTCAGCATCAGCATTGCAGAGCTGAGCTATCCAGCAGGCAGCGGGGGTATATACAGCTGCTGAGGGCATGTCCTCAAGACAGAGTATGGAGTGGTGACAAATAGTAAATTAACCACAAATGCAAAATAAAAGAAGCAAAAAGAGGGAATCAATTAAATTGTGCAGGTCAGATGTAAAAACATCTCTGAGGAAATGTGGTGGATTCCCACAAGAAAACCAAGGGGGGGGGCGCAAGGATCTAGAAGCCATTTTTCTTCCTCTTCTAAACCAACATCTCCCTCCTGAAACTTCCTGCACAGCAGTGAAGCTGTGCACAGCAGGGAGGGTTATCTGCACTGCACAGCCACGAGACACAACCTTTTGGGACCTGAAGCTTCAGCAGCAGAAAGCCCAGGGAGGGAATGAACAGCAGAAAGGGAGCGATAAGCACAGGGTGAACAAACACGGGTTTTTACAGACTTTTTTTTCCCCAAGCAGCAAAGCTGCAATGAAGAGGTAGGAAGACATCCACCCTCTTCATAGAAGGGCCCATCTGTTAACATCTGATGAAGTTACACAGAACACGTGTGCCTCAGCTAAAATTACCCACTTCAGCATCAAGAGCCTGACTGTCATCTCTCAGGTTTTGATGGCCGCGGGGCTGCGTCCATCACGCAACTTGACTCTGCGAACTGCCTCTTCTATCTTTAAATCAGAGCAGGTGGGAGGAGGGGAACAGCCACTCGGAGCATCATGGTTTTCCTCAATGGCAGAGGAAAACTTCATCCATATGAGTCCTGGGAGCATTAGCATCCTCTTTGTACAGAGGAGAATTTAGCATTAAAGCTGGACTTGGCAAAGCCTAAGTTTGTTAAGCAAAAGACTTTAACGCTATTAAAACAAGGGCTTTGATAGCATGTGGCTTCGCAAGCAACTTGCCTGGCATCTCTGCACCTCCGAAGCCCCCCTTGAGCATCCCTCTGGCCCCCTCAGAACAAGCCTGGTCCTTACCCTCCTGCTGGAGAAGTGCTCTTCCCGCACCGTGCTCTCCGCGGTGTGCGGCAGACTCGGCATCTGCCTTGGTTCTCCCCTTTTGATGGATTGTCTTCTCACCGTGTGGCTGGAAGGAAAAACAAACCCCATTGTTGAGCCTAAGTGCTGCGAGTGCGTGCATGTCTCAACACATACAACCCTTCTTCTGCGATGCTTTTATTTTTTCCCATCCAAACTCTTAAAAACTGAGAGATGGGTAGGCAGGAAAGCAAAAAAAGCAAGTGTGGATTCATTTAAAAGAAGCCAGTATGCTCCAACTGGCTTACAAACAAAAATATAGCACAGAAACATCAGAGTGATTTTTCAGGGTCCTCCTTTAAGGAAAGTGAGCCTACATCCTATTTTCAGGGCATTATGTTCCCCCAGCCCTCAACCTCTGATAGTTTCACATTTCCCTACCTCCTCTCCTCACACTTCCTCAGAGCAGGACGCTCCTGCCAACCCACACCATGTCTCTTCCCATGGCTCCCCTGACACTTCCAGCCACCCTGAGCACCAAGACCTGCACAGGCAGGGCTGACCACCCCATATGGGGACACCCCCACCTCCCATATCCAGCCCATGACAGCAGAAAGCCTCATAGCACCAACAATTTCCACCAGCATAAACCTTCTCCAAAGTTCAAGGCAAATTCAGCTCAAAAGCTGATGACCTGGGACCCATCGTGCTTTCTGGGTCAGCAGAGAGGTGCTTGCACCACTTAGGTTATAGCTGCTAAATAGAGATTAAATATTTTTATTACAACTGCTAATTATTTGCAGAGAATAAATTCTTCTACTTCTTACAGCAAAGTAAATGAGACTGGTGAAGCCAAACCAACATGTTATTAAAAGAGAAGATCACATCTTCCTAAAGCCCACCACGTCTATACAGCTGCACACTCACCTCCTGGTAGGGATAGGGATGCGCACGAAGGCTTTGTACCTCAGCAGCTCCCTGTGAAACTCCTGGAAGTGCTTGAACTTCCTTTTCACCTGCCACGTGAACTCCCCATGGGTCAGCTCGATGGTGTAAACGTTGGGGCTTGGGACCTGCACAGGAGAATACCACCACAAGGGTTTCAGCTTTGAAATAAGTCATTTTCCTGCAGCTGCTCATCTAAAAGAGCTGTCACTCAATTCTACTTAAGGATCATTCTGTGTCACGATTTCTTGTTCTGTTTTATTAAGTTTTATAAGCAGACAGGAAGCATTCTCTCTTGAATGTTTCTCTGAGACACAGGCGTCCCTGCTTCATCAGCTCATGAACAAGTACGTACAAAATTAACCCACAAACAGCGTTTTAATACAGTTCTATGGAAATTTAATGAAATTTCTGGAAGTTCTGACCTTCTTCGTGGAAGTAAAGCGCTCCACTTCCAACACACGCACTCGAACAGGACATCCGGTGAGGTACGTCTGCGTGCCTGGCTCTTTGAACCCACGGGTGTGATAGATGGCAGAGAAGGGAATGCACGCTGGAAGGACCACAAACCCTGTTAGCTCAACGGCCTTGTAACCATCAACAAGGGCACGACAGCCAGCAGAGAGTTGCAATACTTTAACATGGGAGCATTTATACCACAGCATTAATTCCACTAAATTATACCAAGTTTTGTTTAAGAGTGCTTAAAGACAAGTTTTCACAGAATGGCCTTGACTTGAAGAGCTGCAGTGCTAAGAGCAATGCCTCCTGGTCCTAAAACAGGGCCAGCAGCTGGGCTTGGTAAAAACACTGAGGTTCTACCCTGTCAACAGATTATCTGATATTAAATCCAGGAGGAAAGCAGGGTGAGAACATGTGGGCATTAACTCACCGGCACCTTTTGGGTCATTTAGCACCTCTGCGTCGACTTCCTCCCCATCAAAGTGGAGCTCCCTGGTGTCCAGGCTCTCAATGATGTTGCTCATGTCTGCAGCGATCCTCTTCAGCGTTGATGTAGCTGCATGGCTTTCGGCTCTCAGTGACATCTCAGGGACCCACACGTCAGAGACACGGAGGGCTGGGGAGGAGGATGGAGAAGGGCTGTCAGCACCTTCCGTGCAGGACCTCAGCATAGCCCCTTACTCACATTCATCCTAACCATCCCCATCCTGCACACCCAACACAACGCCCAGCCCTGCAGCTACAGTAAACCACTGCCCAGAGCAGTGAAAAAGCACAGGCAGCTTCAGGCTGCAAAAGAAAGTTTCCCCCAGCACCAGTGACCATGGGAGTCATATGCTCTGGTTATACTTTAAAATGGAAAACTACAAAATATTTCACTTTCCAGCTATAAAAACCTGCAGGGCGTTGGCTGTGTGAAGGAGTACCTGATTCAAAGGGAAAACAAGGAAGCTCCTGTCATCTCAGTGACCTCTATAATGACGACGATGCACCAGAAGCAGCACAAATCATATTAATTCCTGGCCAAATCCTAGGCCTAATTCATACAATGCTTTTCCCAGGTTAGGCTGCATGGAGGAAAAAGCTCCCTCAGAAAATCAGTAGGTGTTTTGTTATGTGTGCTTCCTTTGATTGAACCAATGATCTAAAATCCTGGCATCATTATTAATATTTCTTCTATTTCTATGCACCTTACACAATTGCCCGTGGTATCTGTGTGCCCTGTGCTCTCCATCCTCTCAGAAGGCTCAAAAGCCACAGTCACAAGGGCTTCCACCCATGCAGCAGAGTGAGGTCGGGGCACCATGATGCCCACAGAAAGCCTGGCAGCAACACTGGTGGATGCTGCAGCTTGTCCTCCTCCTCCAACAGCCCCGCAGGGAGCTCACATCCCTTATACAGCCCTGGGGGCTGCAGGGGACCAGCCCACCACCTCTCCATGCCAAGGACAGCGAGCAAGGGAAGGCTGTTGAGCACAGGGAAGGCTGCCGTCTGCTCAAGGTGGCACTTGGAGATGTTTGTGCACTGATGACTACTGCACTTCTCACCTTCATCCCCACCCACCCATGCCAGGAGCTTGAGTCAGGACAAAAAACGGGGAAGGAAGAAGAAAAACAAAACTAAGAAATATCAAGATACGAGGCACGTCCACCGACACCAACGCAAGCTTTCAGTGCTTGTGAGTATTTGCAAAGCTTCCTCCTCCTCCTCCTCCAGGCTCTGCAGACTTGGCCGCTGGTCCCTGCACGCAGCCAGGCCCCAGCTCCTGGGCATCTACGTGATAAAGTCCCTTCAGTCTTTGTTCTGCTCGGCAATAAACGTCACAGCGTGACAGCGACACTGACAAAATACAGACAGGACAAACTGGCAACATTTTAGAGAAGCCAACACAAGGATGCCCATTTTTACTCATGGAAGCTCCTACATTGTGTCAAAGAACTATAAAAACAAAGCACAACATTTCTGGTGTTAAATTCTGCAAAGAACATTGCACAATTATTCTTGAGTGAGCTTCACAGAAAGAGCTGGGTATGCCGTAATTTGGAAATAATTTAACATTTTAATAATTCACGTGTTTAGCTGCTTTAGAACATTGTGTTATCGCTTCCTCTTGAAACAAGTACATGATTTTATTACTATGTAAGGCTCATATCATGTAAGCTCAAAACCATGTTTAAATCAACTGCCTTCAGAGAATTAGAAAAAAAAATAATCCATCTGCACACAGTCTTGAATCAAGAAAACTGGGTCAGTCTCTTTTCTTATACCGAAGTAAATGTAGAAGCAGCAGCTTCATCTTGGGAGCGAGGGCTCCGATGGTCCTGGTAACTCTGCCTCCTTCCAGCGGTGCTTGGGAATGCCACCCCCGCACTGAAGGCTTCAGGACCAGCCAGGAGGCTCGCTCAGTGGCTGGGGCACGTCACTTCAAGGGATCCCTCTGAATAATCCAAACACAAACCCACACATCTCTGCCCCATGTACCTCACTCCCCTTCTGTTCGAGGAGGGCAAAAAGGAATTTGCACTAATCCTCACAGATGGAGGTACACCAAAATGCGGGATGATGAGGCTGCTGATGTTACCCATCACTCTACCAAGTTGCCCAGGCTCTCTGCAACAGGGACTCCACACCTCCTGCTCTGCGCTCCATGCAAAGAGTTCTTTTGGTCATCTCTAGCTGGAAATAAAGCAGCATCTTGCTCTGCATTTCTTCTGTCTCTTTTCACATTTGGAAACATAGCACAGTTTGATTTTTGTTTTCATTCAGTCTGAAGAGATGCTCTTGCTTCCCAGAAACTTGATGCACTCTCCAAAAAGAGGAGGTATGCACAGTCAAGAAGACGACAAGCCCAAAAACACTTGGTACATGCTGTGCCAGCAATTTTGCTTGAAGGAAACCAGCAGCCAAATACCGCTTGGACAGGGCTGGAGGAAGAGCACGTGGACAAGGCGGAAAGGATCTGCATCCTCCCTCCTCCTCCCTGCCCCCCATGCCAGGTACAGCCATGCTCCCCTCTTGTCAGATTAATTGATGCAGCAGGTTAATGGATAAACAATTAATCAGCACACACAATGATTATTTGCTAAGGACCACAGCAGGGCTGCATAACTTGAATATTTGTTTTAGAGCTGTTTTCACAGCTGGCACAGATGAGTCCTGAGATGAAGCAGAGTCCCAGCGCAGTTGGACCCAAGTCATTCCCCGGGTGAATCCGTCACAGGCTGGGTGCAAGCACGTGCCAAGCACGGCTATCCGTGATTCAGCACCGAAACACAAGGGCTGCATCAAGAAGGCCCTGTCTGTCCAGTGCCACTCACCGCCTGTACTAATGATGGGCTAGAGAGCAGGATTGTGAAACCTGCTGATAGTGCCTGCAATTACGTGAAGGACAGAGAGAACTCAAATGATACTGGCAAATTGCAGGAGGGTGGAAATAACAGGGGGAGATTAAAAACAAAGACCAAGGTTTCAGTGGGTCAGAACCAGCAATCCCAACAAAGGCAAAAACTATGCCAAGATGCACAAATGGGGCTACTGCCTGCAAGGCAAAAAGGAAAATCAGTGCAGAAGATGGGAAGGGTCAGATCTAAAGCACCTGACCTGTGAGAACAGTGTCAGGACTGATGTTATTTTGCCTGAGAAGGGACAGACGTGGAGGAAACACGACAGCAGCCTGCAAGTGTGCAGAAGATGGCTGGGAGCAGGATGGACGAGAGATAATGGCTCTGAACTGCAGGTTTAAGGCAGATACTAGGGAGAAAAACCCCGTCTGATGGCAAAAGCACAGCAGTGTCCAAGAAGGGGCTTGCAGCATCCACAGGGCTGGAGGAACAGCCACGCCAGCCCAAAACCCCCAGCACCCAAACCTGCCAAGAGCTGGCACTGTGACCTGTGGATTAACAGAGGGAAGGTGCTGCTCCGCTTCATCCGGCTCAAAGTCTGCCAGGGCAAAAGCAGCAGGGAGGAAAAACCAATGAAAAAACATCAGCAGCAGGGAAAACTTTGGAAAGAATGAACAAATAAGGAAAAAGATTATAAAAAACTGAAAAAGGGAAAAATATACTAAAAAACCCCGAAAACACTGCTGACACCACCTTTGTCCAGCCCAGCTTTCAAAATAATTATTTCTTCTTCCAAGCACGACTTAAACTCTCTGTCTCCCTTTGCCTGACTGTCTCCACAGCATATGAGCACCAAACCTCTTGAACCAGTAAAATATATACACTGGGAATAGCGACTGCACCAAGAATCAAAGTTTCAACCACAGAAAACATCACTATAAAAAAAATCAACATTAACTCTATTAATCCCTGAGCCCTTGTGAATGTATTGCAGACCCCTAGCTCAATCCTGCAGCTTTGCAAGCCTGATGTCTATTTTGGTTATTTGCCATTTTGGTTATGCTTTAACCCCAAGTTATTGCTTAGGGGATCATATGACAATCTCAGCCTTCGCTAAAGGAACAGTGTTTTTCTGCTCATTGCACAGGACAGCAAAAGCATGGCTTTAAAGGCATGGAAACTGAAAGGCAGAAAATGCATATTTTAGTAAATATTCATGAGCAGTTCTGTGTTTTGAAGACGTTCAAGTCCTGGTGTGAAAACATATGCAGCTGGTAATAGAACAGGCTACCTAAAACTTGGTCAGCCCAAGTTTATTCTCTTCCATGTGTCATGGCAGATCTGCAGCGAGCTCAGACAATCCCCGCTCCTTAACGAGGTTTCGCTGCCGACAAGCGCCATGCAGAGCTATGAAACCAAGAAAGCCTTCGTTTGGGAAAGTGAGGAGGAGGGAAGAGAAAACACATCCAGTAAAAACAGGCATTTCCTGCTAATGCCTGCCAGGGTTTGATGCTCTGCATCAACTCCCATCCCCACGGCGAGAAACTCTGTAATTCCTGAAAATCGCCCTCACACCGTTCCCATGACACCTCTCCCAGCACAGCGACCTTTGGCAAGGGCTGTGACAAGCGCCCTCTGTTCCCATGCTGGTTTTGTCCCACAGGCAGCGCCGGTGGCAGGACTCACGTGAGCCTCCCCGACTGCATGGAGCAAAACAGGCGGCCCGGGCCTGAGCAGGGCAATGAGATGGCATTATTAAAAAGAAAAAACCAAAACAATCCCAAATTACTTGAGGCATGAATTTCCCCTCTCTTGCTGTCAGGAGCCTGGATGCCATGCAAGAACCAAGAGCTCAGAGGAGAAATCCTATGCACGGTGCCCTCAATAGCTATCTGCCCTGCCTGGTGGTGATGAAGCTGTTCCACGTAAATATTTCCTTGATTCCTCACGTTTTAAACCTAAAATTACCACTCCTGCACGGAGAAATACCCTCGGCTGGACTTGTCACCAGCCCCAGATTCACACCCTTATGTGCCTTCCTTCCACAGCCCTTGGCCCATGTCAGACCTCCACCAAGCAGCTGGGAAATGTCCCTTGGGGTCCTCACCAGCACCTGCAAAGGGGACCCTGCTTTTCCAGCCCAGGAAATCCACATACCCATACAAAACAATATAAAAGACAGGCACTGATTTTATTTTTCAGTATACTCTCCCCCATTACTTAATCAAAATCCAAGGGTTCTT